ATATTTAAAACAGCTAGTTCATATATATATATTCGGTGCAACATTTTGAGCAATTTTGCTTAGGCACTTTCACATTGAGAATGGGTAACAAATGTCTATCTGGACACTTTAGATCGGTCGTGGGCCCTGTGTCTCACCTGGTTGCCTGTTGATGGCAACATTGCTCAAAAAGTTGCCCGGTGTATCATCAGCCTATTATGACCGCGCGTCCTGTGACAAGTTTTCAGCATCGGCGCACAGAAGTTATCAGTCTAAAAGGTCTGCAAAATCAGTCAACAGTCAAAAGTAGATTTATTTTAAAGACCAGTAGTTTAATACTAAATATTGGACATAAACGAATACATTGAATATAAAAGTATTTAAAACAGGTTCATATAATTCATATAATATATTAACTATTACTACTTCATAATTCAAAGTTCATATATTTGGACTTAAATTAAACAGATACATCAGTCACACAGCGCTCTGGACCGCACGCAGCATGACGAGCCCAACGTACCGCCACAGAAACAAGAATGAGATGCTTTCTAACATAACTGTGCATTAAACTCAGTTAGTGAGGGCTCGGTTAAAATATTGCACATATATAGGCCGTTCAGATTACTTGTTAAAGTGCAATGAAATAGGACTACCTTATATCAGCAGACGATGTACGTCTGTGTTTGTGGATGGAGACTCCTTCACCGGCTACAGCCTCTAATCCTCATTTGCGTGAGTGTGTGAAGTGCGGTGCTGGAGTGAAATAGCACGGCAATATAGGATAATAAGCCGAATTATAATAGGCCGCCTAATAATAATAATAATTGAATACATTAATAGGAGAATGAGCCTAATATCGTCTTGACTATCGACGTCTACCAGCACAACCCTACAGTCTACAAAGATACATTCACTATATTTCTTTTAATTTGCCTTCAAACTGCACATTATTCAGAGGAAACACTGCAGGATGTGGCATAACATTTTTTAAACAAATAAAGGATTCAAATTAATTCAAACTATTAATGAGTAATTATTTAATTTTTCCATCCAATTATATGATTAAACAAGAAAAAAATCAACAGATTAATCAATTATTAAACTAATTGCAATAATCTCGCTCTCTTAGACTGTTGCCCCACTAGCAGCTGACCTGAGACAAACTGACCACAGGAGACCAGCGTCTGTGTGTCTGTGTGTGAGTGAGTGAGTGAGTGAGTGAGTGAGTGA